GTTGAACTCGGTTCCTTAGCCTAACAAAATCCTCCTGCTGTGTGGACCACTTATGCTTCCAGTTGTCCATAATCGCTATAGTTCTCTACATAAAGACCTGGGCGGCGTCGAAGCTTTCCACGGGCCCAGCCCCCTCGATCAGTCCCTGGTCATCCGAGGTCAGCGAACCTTGGGGGAAGAACTTCTCGACAGTCACCCCAGCGCTCCACAGCGAGTTCAGGTCGGCCGAAGCACTCACATGGTCTAGTCACACCTGGGTGAGGCCCTTCCCGAAGCGGTGAGCTATGTACTGGCTCCGGGAAGCCCCCTGCGACAAACTTGACGCCGCCGCCAAGGTGGCAGGCGCGGCTCTAGAGACCTCGAGACTCGGCCCCTTACCACGAGCCTCAACAGAAACGGAGACGAGCGTTTCCTACTCAGCAACAGGGGGGTCCACGTTTGGCACCCCCGACCTTAGAGGCACCCGGACCTCAGCAACGTCCCCTGCCTGCAAACACCAAAGCCATGTCAAAAAAGAAAGAAAAAAAGAACAACATACATGATAAAGGAAAAAACGAAGAGCGAGGCACTCACCACGGCGGCCTGGGCGACCTGCTCAGCAATCGGGACCTCCGCCTCGACAGCTATCCCTGCCTGCAAAGAGCGATAGCGCCTCAATAAACAAAAGAAAAACCAACATAGAAGGAAAGTCCAAAGAGACAAGACACTTACCTCGGCAGAAGGAGCAACTGGCTCAGCAGTCGCTGCAGCAACCATTTGGGGACCCTCCCCAGGTGGAGAACTCCTAGTGAGATCGATTGCATCATCATTTGCAGCCTTGGAGGTCACCTCCTCCATTTCGCGAGGGGCAGAGGTCCCCCCGACCTCTTTCTCGCCCCTCTTTCTTTTTCAGTTGACCTTCAGGGGGGACATCTCCTCCTCTTAAGGCTCGGGAACCTCAAGCTCGGCAACGTTGTAGCGGTGCTTCAGCTCACGCCACTTATTCTTGCCCATTATGTCTGCAAAAACAAAAAGAAAAACACACCAGCAAAAGAAGGTTTTGCAAACCCTAACAATCTAAAGAGGACAAAATACTCACTCTTCAGGCCCCTCTCCTTGTATGCTGAGTTCGCAAGCGACAGAACGAGCTTGCAATCCAGCGGACGAGGAAGCACTGCGAGGTTCTCGACGGCGGCCGCCTCCGACGCCGTCAGCTTCAATTGGCCCACCCCATGAAACCTAGACGGTTTGGGGCACCAATAGAAAGGAAATTTCGGCAGCCCGTCGAAGTAAAACGCCCCATCCTCCAATGGGTCGACATTCACAAGAGCAACCCGGAAAAACTGTTGTTTGAAGTTTTTGTATGACTGGGAGTAGAGAGTAAACAAACCCCCATCCCTACTCCCACTCAGAGACAGTATGCCGTATGGCGGAACGCCTATCTTCAACTGGTAAAAATGAAGAAAGACGGGAAGGGACACCTCTATCCCTAAAACTGAACACAAGATTTGAAAAGCCCTCAAAAAACCCCAACTATTGTGGTGTAACTGGCAAAGGACCGAGTTGACAAAGTTCAAAAAATCACACTCGAACTGAGTGAAGGGAAGGCAGACACATAAATCCCTAAAAAAACATTGGTACATATAGAAATGGGGAGGGTCAGTAGACTTCCCCATGTACACGCCCTCACCGGCCTGACAAGGTTCAAGCTGGATCATCCGGGAAATAGAAGGGTCACAAACCTTGCACGATTTCAAGATCCCATTAACCTCAAGAAAGGACCGAAAAACGCTTTGGACCCTCGCCATCTCACACCAAACCCAGTCGTACCTAGGAATACCTGGAACGAGGTCCGCTGGCGGCGCCACCTCCTTTTTTTTTTTTCGAGCGACGACCGTTCTGGTAGCCGCCGCCTTGCCCCGCGCCTTGCCTTTACCCTTGGCAGGCGCGGAGGAACCAGCACCACTCCCTCTAGCCATGGAAAAAACAAGAAAGACTCGAAGAAGATTGGGGAAGAAGGAAAAAGAAAACGGTAGAAAGGAAGTACCTGGTACTCTTCCTCAGAAAATAACCCTAACAATGACTGGGTTACCGGAAACGCCGGGGAAAACGGGAAAAATGAAGACGGAGGATGAGCAAAAGCACAGGAGAAACAACGTGTGCGAGAAGTTGAAAGAGTGAAAAATGAGTAAAGTGAAAAGGGAAGAGGCGCGAGTGAGAGAAAAAGGTTTTTCCCAAATTCAAAACGGCCACGCCATGTGTCGGCCAAGGGGCAAGTCTGACGCCACATTAATGGAAAACCATTATGACAAATGCAAACCATCATTAGATAACCGTCACTCCCCTTAACGCCCCACTTGCACGTTTTCGGGAAATGAATAGTTATGACACATGGCATCTCAACAAGCAGGCGTACGCGAAGGGTCACAACCACTTGACGAGCTCGGTCTTAACTCCTTGACCCATGGTCTTCGGAGCTCGGGGGGCTAGTGTACTATCTGTACCGCGAGCCGAGCTCCCTGCTCGGCATCACAGAGCATAACAACCTCGGATACGTGCTATGTGACGTCAGCTCGTCACTTAACCGTATTGTATCCGATTTTAGGAGATCCCGGTCCAGACGAGATCTGCTATCTAATTAGATCACAACTGATCTCAGGCCCAAGGCCCAACGCAACTCTAATTCACACTAAGGTACGTGCATTATTTATACGAGACATATACTCATACAAACCCTAACTTTAGCATCGAAGTCTCTTTTGCAGGTACCACCCCCATCTTGGAACACCAGCGTACCAGTGAAGGAGGCTCACCAATCTTACTTGGAGGATCAACCCTACGACAAATTCCCAGTAAGAACACTACTATTTTAAGAAATTTCACAAATGCTTGGATTTCAATTTCTTTGTAAATTCCTCATCCAAACAAAGCATTTCACCTCAAGAAATTTGAAATTCTTCAAATAAATGAATTAACCTATATAAATATTCCTCATCCAAACACACCATAAGGGTTATATTTTAACCCTCTCATCTCTCATAATAAATTCTCTCTCACTTGATATGCTCCCTATATATATATATATACAACACTATTTTTGATATATATTTTTAGGTAATTATTATAAAATCCAATATATTATTTATACGTTTATAGACCAGTGTATAAAGAACATATGATTTATTTTCCTTTTAATTAAACGATAGTAATTAGGCCATTTATAGGTTGTATGGATTCATTATTTTTAATTATGTTCCTTTTTTTTTTTCTATTGTAATCTTGAATTGCCTTCATGATAGTTGGAGTGTTTATGCAGCAAATACCATATATAGTTGCTCTGAAACACAAACATGTTGCATATGCATGATTGTTAAATCCTACATTTACAGTGTGGAGACATTGTTACTCACAATGTAGTAGATTTATAATACATTTACAATGTAGTAGATTTATAATACATTTACAGTGTGGAGACCTTGTTACTCACAATGTAGTAGATTTATAATGGGAACTAATTGGATAATTTTAAAAGGCCAAGAAAAATATCTAAATTGCAATAGTATATTTGCAAAGTTTGAAACTAGAATCGTTGAAACATCTTGATGTTTATAATGTTTATAAAAACTTTCTATGACCAAATTGCTTCACAGATCATATATTTTGTCCTTCTTTGCTTAGAGAATTTGTAACATCATTTGTTCCTCGTTTAATGCTAGATAGTTGTGCCTGTAGATATACATATATCCCATTTTACAAACGTATTTTAAAAGAAATATTAAACTAACAAAAATAGAAGCACTATAATTTATCACCTGTAACAACTCTGTCATGCTCATATTACTACTTGACTCCATGAATGTATTGTTGGAAACATATGTGGGAAACTAAATAATACAATTTTAATAACAATTAAAAATTATCATATAGATTATAAATTAGCACGAGAAACAAAAATTAAAATAAATTAGAGAATACCTGACTAAATTGAGATGAAGGCAATTCATTATCTAATTTCTTCATTTAATTGTCATCTTGTTTCATATTTTTCTTCTTTTTTCTTCTGTCAAGAATCGCTTTTGGTCTAGTAGACGATCCTCGAAATCTTTCTTTGGTCTTTATTCCTTTCACATTATCCTTATTCCCACTACACCAACCCTTTTCAATATTTATAAGTGAACCATCACCAGTACTAGCTTCCTTGTCTCTACCTTCAAGACAAACATCTATATCATTCATGGCCTTGGTCAAATAACTAATAGGTATATTATATGTTTCTTCAGTTATCGCTCCTTTAGTTGCTAATTGAACTTGCATCCTACGCATGTCTTTATAGCACATACCTATTTTTGCCTTAGGGTCCTCATGGATTATAGAATGGTTAGTTGGTATGCCATTTCCCATTTTTGCATGTTTTGTCCATCTCTTTAATACATACATAGTAGGAATTTTCATAACATTTATTGAAGAGAGAACTTTGAGAGCATGTGAGCATAAAATCCCTGCAAACTCATACCTTTTACAACTACACTTCACTGAACCAATAGAGGAGTCATAATGGACAGTATGTTGAAATAACTTCTTATATGAGGTAACTTTATATTCAGTAACTTCCCCATTTTGAGAGGAAATATACATGCTACAATCATAACCACTTGATACCTCGTGTTGGTTCATCTTAAATATTGCAGGAGTATAAATTATTGTTGCATGCCGTAGAATTTTCACATCAAATGATAGAATTAAACTTCTTTGGGTTGCTTTAAAATCTTCCTTTGATTCCTCATATCGACGATCCTCTACCATTCTCTGAAAATGATGAAAAATTCTTAGTAAATCATGTTGATAACTCACATATTTTTTAATTACATTATAAATACTCTCATTTCGTTGTGGGTTTGTCATGTTTGCACAAAAGGTCTTTTGACCATAAACTAATGCCCATTTCTCCTTTAAAGCAAAAGTCTGTTTCAACCAACTATTGTCCTTAAGATCATATTTCTCAAGCATATTGTTCAAAGCTACTATACACTCTTCTTCCTCTTCATATTCATAGATGCATTTATTAAAATCCTTACTGAAGTAATTACAGAATCATTTGCTAAATGAACCTCAACTACTTGAGGAATATTCATTTTCCTTTGAGATCTAAGAAAATGACTCTTACTAGGAGTTGTAGTCTCATGTGCATGCTTAGCAATAAATTCAGTTACACGATACTTTCCCGTCAAACGACTATTAACTTTCATCTTTGCCAAACAACCAAATCTTGATTGTGGTCGAGGATTTTTGACATTATCTTCTCGCATATCTTTCCCATGATATCCTTCGCATGAACAACAAAATACTCTATTGACTATCTTCCCATATTTATCTTTATGTCCTTTGCTAATCCTTGCACCGAAACCCACTCTATAAGCATAATCATTATAAAAATTATATGCTGCATCTTTAGTCTCAAACTCCATCCCAACTTTTGGTATAAATTGACTAGGAATTGTATCATGTAGCATATCAAGTTTTTGCACTTCAATTGCATCCACATTATCAATGCCCATTTCTTGATGTTCTTCTTCAGCCATAACACAATGCTTTGAACAAGTGACTAAGAAACAGATACGTATGAAATAAAGAATGAACTTGTGTAATAATCCAACAAAATTAGAGTCAAACAAAATGAAACAAAGTTGATGTTTAAAGAGATCAAATAAATCTTAATTCAAGAAGAAAACCACAAATTATGTAATGTGAACAGGAGAAAAAGAATAGGAGTAGGAAAAAACAAAAGGTAATGAGCAAAAGTTAAAGAAATGTTGGACTTGATAGTTGCACCCTACCATCACAGATCACAAATTTTGCTGAGAAGTGAAAAGGTAGGAAATTTGTTGAGTGGCAAAGTACCAGAAACATGAAGTTTACGTTAGGAATGGGAGAACCAAAATCAAAACAAAAATTGTAACGGGATATGAGAATCGGATACAATTTTTAAAAATCAGAATTAAAATTAAAAGTAATAATATAGTTAATAATAATAATTAAATACTATTATAAAACAAGCCATAAGTTAGCATTATCATATCCCTGAGAGAATAATTTCCTTTTGGGTTGCAATGAGTATATTAAATACCAAAAAACATGCAGTACGTGTTGATCGAAAATCCTTTTCGCCAAGCGGAAAATACAAAATGGGAAACCAACACGATCTCAATAGGAGAATCAAAATAAAAAAAAATTGTAACGGACATGAGAATTGATTGCATTTTTTAAAAATTAGAATTAAAATTAAAAGTAATAACATGGTAATAATTTAATTGAGATAATATTTTGTGATTGGAGGGATAGAATTTGGGGACAGGAGTTGGAGACAAAAAATTTTGATCCTAATAGTTGTAACCCCTTCGTACTTTGTTTGGTTTTAACTAATAAAAACCAACATTCAACTAACATGAGACACAAACTTTCAACATTAATCCCATTAAGAAAGTGGCAACGAACATCTCAATATTATTCATTACCAAATACATATTATGTTTTTTTATTTTATTCAGGACTTATATATTTTTGAAGTATCACTTATATATTTAAGGATTTGCTTTTGTTAAGTATCTTTTTATTATCAAATAAGGTGGTGTACAAAGAGCTTTCTCGAAACTTAAATTAGCTTAGTTATGTGTAATCATTAATAATTTTTTTTATAGCCCTAAAAGACTATGTAAGAAATGTAAGCTGAAATAACAATTTCAAAATTTTAAAAATACTATTAAATTCAAGAATTGTATAAGTAATAACACTAGTATATATATATATATATATATAAAATAACAAATTAACAATGTCGGTTTTTATGCATAGAATTCAATTATAATCCTTTCACAATCTCAACTTTCCATCTTTTATATATATATATATATATGTTTGTATATTTGGTAACTTTGGTATTTTATCTTTATCGTAAATAACTAATAATTGGTTAAATGAACACGATGACAATTTGAAAAAAGTTTCACCCCTAACACTAGGTAATTGTTCATGATCCAACTCAACATCATATATGGATACGTCAAAAATAGAGTATGAATATCTATCTATTCATGGTCTGCTCCCAACTTTTATGTGTTTCTTTTCAAACCTTAATTAGCATTGAGTAACCATATTGCTGGCATCAATGGATAAATCACCACCTTGGGGTTTCTTATATATATGTGTATTGTCTTTTCTTTCGTATTAATCAACATTTCCATATTCTCTTCCTAATTCAGTTGTAACTCATATGCATCCACTTTTTTAACGTGATTGTTTAGTATACGTAGTAGCAATAAAAATATTTGACAAACTCTCAAGAATACTTATTAAGGAGTGGTGATGGAATAACTCTAAGGCCAAGAAGTCCGAGAAGAAGTCCAAGAGGTGATGTATTGAAGGAAGCAAAAGGAATGGGTTAGTATTGAAAAACCATAGGAGGAGTGAGGCCAGTTTTGGACCTTAGCTCCTAAGTTCTTATTAGCATAGCATTTATTTTTATTCCTATTTTTCCCTTGTACTTTGGGGTATTTTAGTCATAGAATTTATTTTACTTGTATTTCCAATTTTACCCTTGTATTTTGGGGTGTTTAGGACTTAGAGTTTATTTTCTTTTGTATTTCCCATTTTACCCTTGTATTATGGGGTGCTCTAGATGATTAGGGTTTTTATTTTTGGGCTAGGGTGTTAATTAGAGGGTGACGCATTTTTGGTGCTTTTTGGGTCTATTTTTGGTGTTAGAAAGGCTTAGGGCCCAAGTGGAGGGCAAAGGTTGCATGGTCTTATCATGCACCTAGATATAGCCAATCTAAACCCAAAGATTCCATCCTTGGCCACCAAGTTGCATCTAGGGTTCATTTGCATTTCATTTGGAATTCATTTGCCTACTCCAAATGCAACCCTAGATGCCTCCCCTCCTATAAATACCCAACACCCCACACCTTGTAAATACTTTGGAATATATGAATTTGAGTGAGCATTTTTGCCTCAAATCCTCTCCTTAGTCACTAGGTCTACACGGCCTACCTCTCCTATCTCCTCCCTAGAGTGAGTTTAGGGTTCCCTTGAGTGGCCTTCATCCCCACTTGATGAAGAGAGCCAACTAGAACACCCAAAAACACCATCCTCCATTTATCTCTCATATTCGCCCAAATCAATCCATTTACGCCCACCTTCCTTTTTTGCCTCACCCTTGAAGGAACATCCACCCTTAAGGTCATCATTTTGGCCTTAGCAATGAGATTCTTCCCACCTTGGACGTCCATCATCAACCCCTTGGTGGAAGGAGTCCATCAAGTGGGAGAATAAATAAACAACTTATTACCTTCTAAAGGAAGAAGAGAAGGCCATCCATATATCATAATATCATGGAACTGGGTAACAAAGAGCACAATGGTTCAACATATGCTACTGCATGTGCAATTGTCACCTCCATGATATCCATTATATTTGGTTATGGTATATTCAATTCCCTCTCACTTGTTTTTGTTCTAGTTTTTCCTTTCTTGTTCTCCTATATTTTTCATTTTCATTCATTTTTTTTATTTGTGCAACTCATGGTATATTGTGTTTGTGAATATGTTTCCTCAAAGGGAACATTCATTTTTTTTATTTCCTTTATTTTTTTAGCATATACAATCCTGACATTGTTTTTATTAGTGGACATCATATTTAACATTTATTATTTAACAAATTACACACATTTTCTATATTTTACTAAAAAGTAGCATAAAAATGAAACCGATAATGATAAAATTAAAAGTATTCGAACAACTTTAATTATTAAATTAGTTAATCAATTTAAAACTGACATAAAAATTTTATGATCATAGTGAGGAGGAACAGAATTATAAAAGATAGGTTAATAATTTGTAATTTAAGATGCTCAAGTAGCCTTTCAAAAATTAAAACTATGTTTGGCCCATGAATTCTATTTTTGTTTTAAAAGTTACTTTGAATTTAAAATTTTAAAATAAGACTTTTAAAAGTTAAGTATATTATATGTTATAAATATATTATAATTATCTGTATAAAAATCCACAAATTTGACCTAGCGATAGAAAATGTTAACTAATATTCACAAGATTTTAGGTCACACACATCCACGCATACACACATATATATACACGTCCATAAGATTTAACTAAATAATAATGTCTTTGGTAATTTCTTTCATCAACTTTATTATCAAATACTTTTACTTTCTCCTTAATTATATGTGGCACATGATTTGTAAAGAAATTATATAAAACATATATATGCACAAAATGATGTTTTAGATTAATGCATTGTGAAAAAGAATTAATGACATATATCAATATGACTTTCAGATACAGGTGTCATGAGTGGAGCCATGATATTTATAAAGGAAGATCTTGGAATTAGTGATACCCAACAAGAAGTTTTAGCAGACATCTTAAACATTTGTGCATTGGTAAGATCTTTAACTGCTGGAAGAACTGCTGATTACATTGGTCGACGCTACACAATCACCGTAGCCTCTATCCTTTTCATGGTTGGTTCAATTCTTATGGGATATGGTCCAAACTACACAATTTTAATGTTGGGAAGGTGTGTTGCGGGTATTGGCGTTGGTTTTGCTCTTTTGATAGCACCGATTTATTCAATAGAAATCTCCTCTGCTAAATCTCGAGGATTTCTAGCTTCCTTACCCGAGCTTTGTATTGGTATTGGAATTTTACTTGGGTATGTGGTGAACTACCTTTTAGGGAAGTTGAGTTTGAAGCTTGGATGGAGATTGATGCTTGGTATTGCAGCAATTCCTTCACTTGCTTTGGCTTTTGGCATTTTGGCAATGCCAGAGTCTCCAAGGTGGTTGGTGATGCAAGGCCATTTAGGAAAAGCCAAAAAAGTTTTACTACAAATTTCAGACACTGAACAAGAAGCTGAGCTTCGATTCAAAGAAATTAAAATTGCTGTTGGGATTGATGAGAATGACCTCGAGAAAATGGTTAAACCCCCAAAAAAGAACAATGGTGAAGGGGTTTGGAAAGAGTTGGTTGTGAGGCCCTCTTATCCTGTTCGTTGGATATTGATTGCAGCTGTGGGGATTCACTTTTTTGAGCATGCAACTGGAATAGAAGCTGTTATGTTGTATAGTCCAAGAATCTTTAAGAAAGCAGGTGTTACCAGTAAGGACAAGCTATTGTTGACAACCATTGGAGTGGGCATTACAAAAGTATTTTTCCTTCTAATGGCCACCTTTTTGCTTGACAAAGTTGGGAGAAGACGCCTCCTGCTTGTAAGCACTGGAGGAATGATTTGTAGCCTTTTGGTATTAGGGTTCGACTTAACCATGGTTGATATGACCCAAGAGGAACTCTTGTGGGCATTGGCCCTTAGCATAGTAGCCACTTACATGTATGTTGCTTTTTTCAATATTGGACTTGGACCTGTCACGTGGGTTTATAGCTCAGAGATTTTCCCTTTGAACTTGAGAGCACAAGGAGCAAGTATTGGAGTTGCAGTGAACAGACTCACCAATGCTGCTATTTCCATGAGTTTTATTTCAATCTACAAAACAATCACTATAGGTGGGGCATTTTTCATGTTTGCTGGTATATCTATATTGGCTTGGATCTTCTTTTACTTTTTCTTGCCTGAAACCAAGGGTCGAGCCTTGGAAGAAATGGAGATGATTTTCAGTAAAAACAATAAAGGGAATGTAACTACAGAAATAGAGTAGAGGCAAATTGTATATACTGTATTGTAGTTGAGATACAATATTTAATATAGAATAGGTGTGCAATGTATATATTTTATATAGAATATAATATAATAATAATTAATTTTTTAGCTAGAATATCCAATTTTCTTAGGCATGTTACAATCTTATCCACTAGAAAATTGAAAATCTAAAAGTTATAAATTTACTCTAGCCTTGCAATTCAATAGATTATAGATAAGGTGTTAATTAGGATTTTCATCAAAATAAAAGAAGTTGAAAATTAGAGATAGAGTAATATCATATGCTCATGACACATCACAAGAGAAATCAATTTTCAATAATCATTTGAAAAAATATTTTTAAATTATTTATAAAATATGAGATTTTTAGTGATTTGTTTTAACTTAAAATAATATTTGAATTATAGATGTTATTGTTATTGTAACGCCTAATTATATAATATTAAATATATATAATTAATAATATAATATATAATTAAATATATATAATATGTTATTATCACAATTATATCATTAATAATATTTCTCATAAAGATAAAAAAGATTTTGTGTACTTATTAACATATAGTTAGTTCATATTTACATTACATACCATTTTAATAATATTTACAACATCATACTATTCTACACATTATTTATTTCTTCCACTTCTACTACAATATTTATATTTTAGGTTGATATAGGTTTACTATTGGGTTAACATGGTTGGCTAGGGGTAGATAGAAGGTAACTATTATAGGGCCATCAATAACATTAGAAATTTCTTTGGTCGAAGAAAATGTAAAAGTCAATAATGCTACACCATGCAAGGTAACAGAATTAGCAATCGCGTCCACACTCCAACTCGTTCTAGAAAATATTGCTGACATAATTGAAGGAAAAGGGTCCGGTATTGCTAGTCGATCCATCTATTTTATATTATAATTAATTCAATTTTTTTAAAAATAAACAAAAATAAGGAGTGAGAACAATTATCTAATAAATACAAATAATTCAATAGAATGTATAGAATTATTTATAACCAACATTAAATTTATATATATATATATATTTAAATTTTCATGTTGTAATAAAATTTGAATTATTTTAGTAGTGACTAGTCAGGATAATGAACATTACCATAATACAATTGCACAACATCATCTTATACACCTTAAGATACAATCATTATGAAGTCATTTAATCATATATTAATATATCAACCATAGTCACAAAGAGATCAACATCACTAAGTATTTAAATCAATAACTAAATCTTAAACCCTAAACCCTAAACCTTATCAATATCACACATCAAGTTCTTAGACATTGTTATCACCAAAACACATCAAGTCATTAAAAATCAAGTTACATCATAGCTTATTAACTACTATTTTCTATCATGCTTTGTCCTTCCTAAGCATTGATATGGGTACCTCAAATGATTTGTAAAATCAAACGCTTAAAGGATAAAATTATTCATCATCACCATTCACAAACCACATTTCCATAACATAAATCTACTAAGACATTTTCTGGTCCAAACACCTTATCTAGAGCTATAAATATGTTATCAAGTTGATCTTCATTTTATTAGAAAACCAAGACATTTATCTACAACATCTATGTGGACCTCAAGAGCTAAATTTGTAATCTACTACATAAAACAAATACAAAATTCTAACATTTTAGCCTAACTCTAAAGGTTTGACTTTTGCTCACTAATTTGATCGTAACTTGAGTTTTAGACCTTGTTTTTAGGTGATTCAATGACATTTGAAATCTAATATTCATGGATACAACGTCAATGAAGATTAAAAATTCTATTTCTGACATTTAAGTCTACTCGAAAGGCTTGCAAGGTACGCATGCTACATTTTGTGCATAGAACATGAAGTTTATCTTTTAATTCACATAACTCAATCTTTCCTTAATATTTTTGTGATTCTTGAGTCTTAATTGTAATCCCAAATTTCTACTTTCTAACCCAATAATTGGAACTCAATTTTATTAATAACACACTGAGAAATCACATAAATACCATGATATATTCATACCAGAATTTTCAGAAATGGGTACAACTCACATCCAAACTCTCTTCTCCAAATCCAATTGATAAAAATAAAAATTAAAGTCTAATATTACTTTATTATACCATCAGTTACTCAAATTCAATATCTATTTCACATGATTTCATACTCATAACATCTCTTTATATAATTATCCAAATAAAATCCCTTTGGATAAAGGTATCACCTAGTAAAACGCCTCCAAAAAGAACTAAAAACAAATGTTCAATATACAAATTACAAACTGAAATCTAACATGAAGTCATAAATATTAGGAAACTAACAAAATGGAATCCTAGCTAAACTTGATATCACATCTTATTAGAGCATAACACCCAACACAAGGCATAAGCCTAATCTCTGGCCTTATCATCCACATGATGATCCTTGCTTGCAACACATACACAAGAGCACCAACAAAAGAAAAAAGGAGTGAGAAATATATCACTTTGGCTCATGGCATAGAACATAACTAGATAGCCATACACAAAACAAAAATATAACGACAATAGTGGGAATAATAATATCATATGATAGTATTGATAATTGATAACAATAACAAGGCACAATATAAAATATAATACAACATATTCTATCACGGAGACATCAATGATTCATTACACAATTTCACTTCACACATATAATGCTATCACAAAACCTGATTCAAACATTATCATGCCCTATGCGGAGAAAGTAACACCCTCTCTGTCACACATATGCTTGGTGTAAGTAATGTCCCACCTAGCACAAAATCTCGCAAAAATAACATCAAATGGCTCCTGGTGTGGCCCATTTGACACTCGACATGATACTAGTTCTTGAAAAACCTATAGTTTATGCAAAAATCGCAGAATCCGAACTCAAAACCCCAAAACTCCAAACCAATTGATAAAAATCACAATGAAAGCTTAATATTATTTCATTATACCTCCAATTACTCAAATTCAAACATTATTTCACATATTCATGCAATTAAAATCAATATTAATTTTTCTCTATAAATCAAGTGTTTCATACAAAAAACTACAGGAACTCATAGATTCTCAAATAATTCAAATTACACAAAATTAACTATACATACAATTCAAACATCAAATATAACACATAATTACATACTCATTCATTTCTCATACAATCACCACAAATGCATTCCTTTAGGGTTCTCACAAAAACTCATGGGCAATCCAAGATTCACAAGATTAGTTTGACACTGGTAATTAAACATACATATACATTGAGGACATTAATTAGAGCACTGAGGAATCACATGAAAGATAGAAACATAATACAAGTCACAATTTCATATTTACTGCTTGTATGATGCATACAACTGAGATGAGATTAGGGGTCAATTTCACTATCCAACAATCTCATGCCTAAAGAGAGATTTCTAACTCTCCCTTACCCCGATGAATAGAGTGTGGATCTCCAGGTTGATCTTCAACAATCTCTACTTCTCATAGTTCTTCATAGAATGAAACGTACGAAAAGAAAATAAAAGTGAGAAGTGTAAACGTAAAATCTGACGTAACATCTCTTAAAATTCTCAACACAAGTTTAACCCATTGGTAAAATATTAAATCGTGATTACTCTTCCATTCCTTTAAAATATTTAAAACTTATAAATAATATACAAAATAAACATATTTTTTCCAACACAATTATAAATAAAATAAAATACATGCAACATATTTTCAAAAATACATTTAATTATATAAATATTTAAAATACATATTTTCTCCAAATATTTTCCATAATAAATTAACATTAAAATACATATTTTTCCAATAAATATTATACAAAATAATTTTATAAATATTTGTTATTTCATAATTGTATTAAAATCTTTTAATTTTTTTTAGAAAATATCTTTTATTAATTAAAATATATTTTTAATAATTTTAGAAAATTTGAAATATTAAAATGTGTGTTTGGTAACTTTGGTGTTGAATCTTTATCGTAAATAACTGATAATTAGTTCGACGAACATGATAACAATTGGAAAAATGTCCACCCCTAACCCTCGGTAATCATTCACGATCCAACTCAACATCACGTACGGATACGTCAAAAATAGTATGAATATCTATCTATTCATGATCTGCTTCTAACTATTATGTGTTTCTTTTCGAACCTAAATTAGCATTGATAACCATATTGCTGGTATCAATATATAACCATCACCTTAGGATTTCTTATATATATATATATGTAGTTATTTTTCTTTCTTATTAACCAACATTCCCATATTCTCTTCCTAATTCAATTGTATCTTATATGCACTCACTTTTTGTTAACATGATTTTTTAGTATACGTAGTAGAAATAAATATATTTGACAAACTTTCAACTATAATTCTTTCTAAGAAGTGGGAGAATAAAGAAACAAATTTATTATTTATTGCTTACTTAAAGGAAGAAGGGAAGGCCATTCATATATCATAATATCATGGAATTGGGTAACAAAGAGCACAATGGTTCAACATATGCTACTGCATGTGCAATTGTCACCTCCATGATATCCATTATATTTGGTTATGGTATATTCAACTCTCTCACACTTGTTTTTCTTCTAGTTTTTCTTTTGTTGTTCTCCTATATTTTTCTTTTTCTTTCATTTTCTTATTTATATGCAACTCATCATGGTATATTGTGCATGTCAATATGTTTTTTAGCATTGTTGACATTGTTTTTATTAGTAAGCATCACATATATTTAACATTTATTATTTAACAAATTAAACACATTTTCTTTATTTTACTAAAAAGTAGCATAAAAATGAAACCGTTAATGATACAATCAAAAGTATTCGACTAACTTTAATATTAAATTAGTTGAAAAATGTAAATTTGACATAAAAGTATTATAATCATAGTAAGGATGAAAACAATTATAAAAAATGGTTAATAATTTGTAATTTAATATTCTAAAGTAGTCTTTTCAAAATTAAAATTATGCTTTGTCAATAATTTTTTTTAGAAGTTATTTTCAATATAAAAAATTAAAATAAGACTCTTAAAAGTTAACTATTTCGTCTATTATGAATATATTATACTTCTATGTATAAAGAACTCACAAATTTAACCAAGTGATAGAAGGGATTGAATACTATGCACAAGATTTTAGGTTTCAATATCCCCATCCACCCATATGTGTGGGTCTATATAGAGACACACAAACTTTAACTAAATATTAGTGTCCTCTGGTAATTTCTTTCATTAATTATATTATGAAATACTTTTCTTTTCTCCTTAAATGTGTCACATAATTTGTAAAAGAAATTATACAAAACATATATATGAACAAAATGATGTTTTAGATTAATGTATATTGTGCAAGAGAATCAATGACACATTAATATGACTTTCAGATACAGGTGTCATGAGTGGAGCCATGATATTTATAAAGGAGGATCTTGGAATTAGTGATACCCAACAAGAAGTTTTAGCAGGCATCTTAAACATTTGTGCATTGGTAGGATCTTTAACTGCTGGAAGAACCGCTGATTACATTGGTCGACGCTACACAATCACCGTAGCCTCTATCCTTTTCATGGTTGGTTCAATTCTTATGGGATATGGTCCAAACTACACAATTTTAATGTTTGGAAGGTGTGTTGCGGGTATTGGCGTTGGTTTTGCTCTTTTGATAGCACCGATTTATTCAATAGAAATCTCCTCTGCTAAATCTCGAGGGTTTCTAGCTTCCTTACCCGAGCTTTGTATTGGTATTGGAATTTTACTTGGGTATGTGGTGAACTACCTTTTAGGGAAGTTGAGTTTGAAGCTTGGATGGAGATTGATGCTTGGTATTGCAGCAATTCCTTCACTTGCTTTGGCTTTTGGCATTTTGGCAATGCCAGAGTCTCCAAGGTGGTTGGTGATGCAAGGCCATTTAGGAAAAGCCAAAAAAGTTTTATTACAAATTTCAGACACTGAACAAGAAGCTGAGCTTCGATTCAAAGAAATTAAAATTGCTGTTGGGATTGATGAGAATGACCTCGAGAAAATGGTTAAACCCCCAAAAAAGAACAATGGTGAAGGGGTTTGGAAAGAGTTGGTTGTGAGGCCCTCTTATCCTGTTCGTTGGATATTGATTGCAGCTGTGGGGATTCACTTTTTTGAGCATGCAACTGGAATAGAAGCTGTTATGTTGTATAGTCCAAGAATCTTTAAGAAAGCAGGTGTTACCAGTAAGGACAAGCTATTGTTGACAACCATTGGAGTGGGCATTACAAAAGTATTTTTCCTTCTAATGGCCACCTTTTTGCTTGACAAAGTTGGGAGAAGACGCCTCCTGCTTGTAAGCACTGGAGGAATGATTTGTAGCCTTTTGGTATTAGGGTTCAGCTTAACCATGGTTGATATGACCCAAAAGGAACTCTTGTGGGCATTGGCCCTTAGCATAGTAGCCACTTACATGTATGTTGCTTTTTTCAATATTGGACTTGGACCTGTCACGTGGGTTTATAGCTCAGAGATTTTCCCTTTGAACTTGAGAGCACAAGGAGCAAGTATTGGAGTTGCAGTGAACAGACTCACCAATGCTGCTATTTCCATGAGTTTTATTTCAATCTACAAAACAATCACTATAGGTGGGGCATTTTTCATGTTTGCTGGTATATCTATATTGGCTTGGATCTTCTTTTACTTTTTCTTGCCTGAAACCAAGGGTCGAGCCTTGGAAGAAATGGAGACGATTTTCAATAAAAACAATAAAGGGAATGTAACTACAGAAATAGAGTAGAGGCAAATTATATATAATGTATTGTAGTTGAGATACAATATTTAATAGAGAATAAATATGTAATATTTAATAGAGAATAAATATGCAATGTGTATATTATATATTGAATATAATATAATAATATTTAATTTTTTAGCTAGAATATCTAATTTACTCTGACATGTTATAATTTTATCTACTAAAACAATGAAAATTTAAAAGTTATGATTTTACTCTAACCTTACAATTTAATAGATAAAATATTATTTTTTAATTACGATAACACTGAAAATTTAAAAGTTATGATTATATGTTCATGACACATCACAAGAAGAATGAATTTTCAATAATCATTTAAAAAATATTTTTAAATTAATTTAGAATACGAGATCTCTTAATGATTTGTTTTAACTTAAATATAATATTTGAATAGAAATGTTATTGTCATGTTTTAATCAAATAATATTTTTGATTTAAAATAATATTAAAGTTTATTTTATCATATTTTATTACCTATTTAAATATGTTAATTAAACATTATTGTATCAATTTTTTTACACCGTACGAAAAATAATTTGAACATTTTCTAAATGTCAAAGACTGCTCCCCTTTCTTTTTTTAACACCAAAATTTCTCTTAACATTTCTTTTTGTTTCTCTAATCCTAATTTGTATATTTTTTTTTCAATTTTGATAACTCAATTGCTCTATCAATTCTATTTCGTTTGAGATTTTAGTAAAAAAAGTTGTTTTTATTTTGATTGTTATTAGATGTATTATTGCTATTACATCCTTTAATTTTTAATCCTTATAGTTATCTTTTTCGATCCTTTAGTAAAATGTGTTAAGTCAGACGGAGAAACTCCCAGTAAAGTTTTGAATGAGACACATATAATGCATATTGTTATTTCTAACAAGTGTGTTAGTGTTTCAGATATAAGTACAGGCAAGTTGAAGAATAGAGAATATGCATTTATTACCATCTACACCAAAACCAAGAGATATGAGCTAAGCACTGGATAAAGGTTGATCAAATGAAAGGCATACATCAGATGAAGACACCCACAAAAGAAATAAAGAACAGGACACGAGCAACCACGATGAAGGGAAAAAGCTAACAAGACGACAGATGAGGAGATCAAATGATCGGATGAAATCAAGCCCAGCACAAGAAGGAAAATAATGAAGCCTTAGATGATACAAGACCATGGATGATGGACAAAGCTAAGTCAAAGCACCCTAGACAAAGTCAAGAGCGTGCATAACTAACTAGACGGAGATTCAAATGAACAGACGAAGAGCATGATGAAAAGGGTCTAGAATCCACTAGTCACAATAATGAGAAATGGTGCATATCCCCCACACACATACAAATCAGACTATGTGAAGAAAAAAAAAAAAGACACATAGAAAACCATGAGGCCAAAAGTTAAAGCTGCATATGTCAGAGCAAGTACAACCATTCTTCATAAAAAGACAACACCCTTGCAGCTGAAATGACTAGGAAAGTACAGAGATGTCTAAGTCATAATTAATGCCAGACATAGGAGTACACAAAATGGTACAAGGGACTTCGTGGAATGTGGATTTGGCAAGCAAGCATTTAATGCAAGATCAAATGCATTAAATACAAGATCCACGAAGCTCTGGACAAACTAAAAACCAGAGAATCAGATAATGGCTACTCAAGCATCAAGATCAGATTCAATCATAAACGGAAGCACATTCAACAAACACTAGATAAAGCCACTACACGTCGAACAATTGGAGCATCAGTCGGAGATCCAAAAGAAAAACTAAATCAAGAACAAGATGAAAGAAGGTTGAATATCAAACGAAATCCACACAACCCTCAGATAAAGCTCAACGATCAACATTAGATAAAAGTGTGTCAAAAACAACCTCCAATACAACATAAAGAAATTAGACGAAGCATAAGATAAAGAAAAAAAGAAGGACAACACATACTGAAAAACACTCTAGACAAAGATAAGTCTGTCCATACTGATCAAACCATAGAAGACGCCAAAGCATCAACGTTACAAACTCAGACGAAGAACAAGACATGAGACGCATGAAACTGATAAACGCAGACGAAGACTGTCATGTCAACCAATTAAAGAATCAAGTCTAAAAAGACTACTCAGGTATCGTCTACAATCACATAAGTGCTCTCAACATGATAGCGTGATTAAAAGAAGAAAAGAAGGAGAAGAAATGCATGCAAAAGCAAAAGCATGCATGTGTCAGAAAAAGTACATCACTTTCAGAAAAGGACAACACAAGCTATGTGACCAGAAAAGGAAAAAAAAGGTTCCTAGGTCCCTGCTTAAGTTAGACACAGCTACTAACAATAGAAAGAAGACTTCACGCAAGGTCTATCACAAGAAGCAACATTTAATGCAAGAACTCAAGCATTAAATGAATTGAGTGAACTAGTCATGAACGACTATATCTACTTCAACGGACACTTGCAACGGAAAGTCCCGCCTCAACGGATATATTCAAAATCAAGCAACGGGCAGATCCTACAAGACTATATATATATCACTACCTCAAACCTTGAAAGGTTGGCTTTTACATTGGAACAAAAAGTGATATCAAGCCCACAAAAATAACGATAACAGAGATAAAAAGTATAGAGTCAAATGTATCATAGGATATTCATCTCTGTAGACTAAGGTGTTCAAAACGTATGTATCTTAGGAACAGAACCTTAGTGAGTGTACCAACTTATGTATTCTCTCCATGAGAGTAAACTAAACACTCAATTGTTGTAAAGACTAAGGTTGCATACCTTAGTGACTGTAGAAATCTAAGTATCCTCTCTAGGAGAGTAAACCATATACTCAAACCAAACTTGTTTAGCTGACATTGTAAAGCCTGAAGAGGCTAGGGAAAGAATACTTGTAAAGCCTGGAGAGGCTGGTCAAAGAATACTCACTGCTAGCAATACTAGCGCTAGTGAGTGAAGCTGGCGGGCCAGGAGTCGTTGAGAATACTTGGACCAAGAGTGATTCTGACTTGAGTGGTCCATAATACTCACTGCTAGCCAGAAGTGGCTGAAAAGAATATACTAGCATTAGTGAGTGAAGCCGACGGCCCAGGAGTGGTCGAGAATACTTGGGGAACCAGAAATGGTTTAAGAATACTAGCGTTGATGAATGAAGTCGACAGACCAGGAGTGGTCGAGAATACTCTGGTCCAGGAGTGGATGATAATACTCAATGCTAGCCTGAAGAGGCTGATAAGAAGATACTAGAGTTGATTAGTGAAGTCAACGGGCCAGAAGTGGTCGACAATACTTTTGTGCTTGATTGCATATTTAGTGGAACCCTTTAGTTGAAGGAGACTAGACGTAGCTCAATTGAGCGAACCAGTATAAAATGATTGCATTGTTTTTATTATATCTTAGACGCAAATCTTCCTTACTTATTAAATCCTTGTGAAAGACTTCGTCCAATGTTTACATATCATTAAAACTGTTTTTAGACGAAGACGCTAACTTTGTTTAACAAACTTACTACACTGAAAGTTTCATTTACTGCTTATCCTTAAACGAAACTATCTTAAAAAGGAAAATACAAGAACTTTATTCACTATTGTTATATGAAAGATTTTCCTTTAGCAGACGATGAATCTTTCAGACGCCATGACCTCGTGTCAAGCAAACTTTGCATAACCATCCAGTATCTAAAAGAGCATTGGATGAAGAATATCTTTCTTGCGGAAATGGTTTAAAAATTCCTTACACGCACACACATATTCAACCCCCCGCTTCTATGTGTACTTCTGCTAACTTCAAAATGAACATTTTTAGTCCTTATAGTTATCTTTTTCGATCATGTTTAGTCCTTATAGTTTAAGATAATTTTTTTAAAATTTTATAATCATTTTAATCTCTATCGTTAATTTTGCTTGTAACATTGTTTATTTTGTATTGATATGGTAGACATCTTTAATTTTGTAAGGATAAAAAAAGTGTTTCAATAATGAACGTTGTATGTGAGAGTATAAAAAAGATATAAAGTATCAAAAGACCTAATTTATAATAATTCCAATAAAATAAATTTAACATACATAAAATTAAATTAATACCTATATTACTAACACAAAAGAGACAATGTTACAAAAAAATTAATAACAAAGACTAAAAAGATTAAAAAAAACTAACTATAAAGATTGAAAAGATATATCTTAAATTATATGAACTAAAAAGATTAAAAAAATAAATATAAAGAATAATAAAGTCTATTTTAAACTATAGAGATTAAAAAACAAAATAAGTGAAAATATAAAAAATATATATATTTTAATCTTTAAAATACATGTGCAAAATCTTTAAACTTCAAATAAATTGAAACAGAATGTGTAATTTAATGGTTTAATTGTGTTTATGAAGAACCACTAGGTTGAGGTTAAATAGTATACACATGATTATAAATTTGAGCCCACTTGCCATCATTGTTATTCCAATTGACAAAACTAAAATGTGTTTCATATTACTTATTTGTATGGATAGGTCCTTAATTAATTTTAGCATTTTTAGTTATTTTATTAAAAATAACTTCCATTAAGTAAAATGATTTAAAATCAATCAAATATTTAAAATTAAACAATTTAATCTCGTCTTTATTATAATCGTCAAAAATTTTAATGTCCGTCAGTTTTGTTTTTAAAAAGCTATGTTTAAATTTTTTTCAATGTGGAATAAAATCTTTAAAAAAATGAAAATAACTGTTTATAAAAAGTCTAAATTATATTATATTATAAAATTATTTCGTTCTTCTGAAAAATAAAACTATTTCATTTTTTATTTTGAGTTTAAATTTCCTTTTTCTTTTCTTCTCCAAACTCTCTTCTCACTCACTTTTGTTAATTCACTCTCTTCTTCCCTCTCAAACTCTCACTTCTCCTCTTTTGCTTGGATTCAAGGTGCTGAGTAGGTATTAATTTTCTTGTTGAGCCGTGTGGATTTGAGTTGTTTTCCTTCTTCTCCGTCACTCTTCTCCTCCGTTCGTC